TTCTCCCCCTTTTTTTTTTTTTTTGAATCCCCCCCCCCCCCCCCCTCTCATGACAAGGTGGGAGTTCAAAAGTAGATGTGAAGAAGTAGGATTACATTGTTTCGCAAGGGGGGGGGGCAGAAAGGGAAGGAAACCACTTTAGAATCACGTTTGTAAGCGCAGAATGGGAAAGACTAGAAGTAGAGAAGATGTCGGCGTGGGTGAGGAGACTAGGTTGGAGGGTGTGCATAGCAAATAGGATCCAGGAAGTAAGGCGTAGCCCAAGGCTGGCTGAAAACAAAGGGGGGCAGGAGGCCCGAAAGGGTCAAAAGGGAAAGCAAGCCAAAGTAGGGGAAGGGGGGGGCAGCGATAGGATAAGGCAGAAGGGAAGGCAAATGAGGGACAGAAGGAATCCTGAAAGGCACGGGAAAGTAGAAAGTAGGAGTAAGGAAATCAGAATAGGGTCTTGGAATGTATGCGGATTTGCCACAGATGAGCGTAAAAGACTCGAAATTGCCGAGCAAGCAGCCGAAAAAGACCTGGACATAGTCGGAGTCCAAGAGTCGTGGGAGAAGGACGGGGGAGAAATAGGAAAAGAAGTGGGAAGCTACACATGGATAGGTAAAATGAGGAGAGGACAGAAAATCAAGAGTAGAGGGGAGGGGGGAGTTGGATTCTTAGTCAAGGAGCACATGTGCGACGTAATTGAGGTGATCAGCGACACCAAATTCAACGAAAGCATGTGGATAAGGGTACCAGGGGAACGGGGAAGGAAGGACATGTTCGTAGGAAATGTATATATGCCACCAGAGTCGAAGAATATGGTGAAGGACATCAGGATAGGGTTCGAGGAGGTAGCAGCGGATGTACAAAACTTCAAGAGAAAAGGAGAAGTAGTTCTAGTTGGGGACTTCAATTCAAGAATCGGGCGAACCACGAACCCACACGGAGCCATAGGGCAATACGGGGAGGGAGCCACGAACAAAAACGGGGAAGAAATGCTGAGGTTCCTTGACAGTAGCGAGATGAAGGTGTTGAACGGTAGAGTACGAAAGACAGAACCGGAATGGACTAGGCAATGTTTCAAAAAAGGAGAACGCTCCATCCTTGACTATATAGTCGTAGAGAATGGGGGGAAAGAGACGGAAGTACGAGTATGCACAACGGATGTAGGCACTACAGACCACGCGTTGGTGTGGACAGCCCTACAACAGACGAGAGTCATACAGAGTAGGCGACGCAGGAAAATGTACAGGTGGAGAATAGATAAGCTAGAAGTAGAAGAAACGAGGGTAGAGTTCCAAGAAGAGATGGCTATAAACGACAAGAAACTCTCGGAGTTGATAGCGGCAATGGGCACACCGAAGGATGCCGAAGGCCGGGACCAGGCCGGGTCTAGAATCATAGAAGGGTGGGAAGAGCTGGTAAACACAACAGGAGTTCTAGGTAGAAAGTTGATAGTTTGTAAGAGAGCAGTGAAGTGGTGGGACGAAGAAATCAAGCAAGCAATTCGAGTACGTAGAGAGTCACACGCAAAATACGCGGCAGGGAAAACAGATGCAGGATGGAAGGAGTATGTTGAAAGTAGAAAGAGGGTGAAGGAGTTGGTCGTGAAGAAGAAGAAAGGGTTGTGGGAGGAAGTAGTCCAAAAGACTAACGAAGATTTCGAGGATGAAGCAAATGTGGGTAGGAATTCAAGGGATAGTGGGCAAGAAAAGAGGGGGAGACACGGAAATAACGACACTAAGATCTGCCGAAGGTAAGATGGTAAGTAGTTCTTAAGGAAAGAGGGAAGTACTAGTAGAGCACTACCGCAAACTTGGGACACCCACCACCAACGACAACTTCGACTCGGAGTTTGAGAAGGAAATCAACTCGTGGGCAGAGGAAAACGTTGAAAGATCTCGGAGGGAACGTAGTGATATAGACGGGTTGCAGGGAGAGTTCACACGAGAAGAGGTAGAGGACTGCGTAGCGAAACTCAGGAATAGAAAAACGGCAGGGGCTGATGGAATTGTGAATGAGCTTTTGAAACAGGGGGGGGAGGGGATGATAAACATGTTGGTCCGGATATTCAACTGGATATGGAAACACGAGTACGCGCCGAAGAGATGGAGAGAAGGAGTAGTCATGAACCTGTTCAAAAAGGGGGATAAAACTGACCCGGGGAATTATAGAGGGATAACCCTGCTGAGCACAGTGGGGAAACTGTTTGGCAAGATGATAGACAATAGAATGGGAGACATGTTGGAGGGGAAACAAAAGATCAGCGAAGGACAAGCTGGATTTAGACCAGATCGTAGTTGTGTAGACCATGTATATACGTTGAGTAAAATTATCCAAGGTAGGAAAAACGCCGAGCGTACGACATACTGTTTCTTCCTACATGTACAAAAAGCCTACGACACCGTATGGCGTAATGGATTGTGGAAAAAGATGTGGGACATCGGGATCCGGGGGAAAATGTGGAGGATGTTGAAAAAGATGACAGAATGCACAAGAAGTGCGGTGATGTTGGATGGGGAAATTTCGAAGTACGTGGATATACTCCAAGGAGTCGCACAGGGCTGTACGATGTCACCCACTCTTTTTAAGATTTACATCAACGATTTGATAAGGGCGGTTGAAGCAGTAAGACAGGGAGTCCAAGTAGGGGGAAAGAGTGTGTCCGGACTGATGTTTGCAGATGATTTTGTGGGGGTATCCGAAACACCAGAAAGGTTGCAAGAACAAATAGATGCGGCGGTAGGATACACCCGAAAATGGAGACTGTCGGCGAACGTAGGAAAATGCGCAGTAGTGGTCTGTAACGAAGACAAGAAAAATCCCGTAGAATTCAAATGGAAATGGGGGGAGGAAGAACTACCGGGGAGGAAGAACTACCGGTAGTAGACAAGTATACGTACCTGGGAGTAGAGATTTCGAAGGAGTGCTCATGGGACGCACACATAGCGAAGTTGATTGGGAAGGGTAAAGCTCAGATAGGCAAGATGGACGAGATGCTTACGGACCCACACCTAGACACTAGGATTAAGAGGTGTATTCTCTTGAATGTGATTGTACCTAAGCTAGAGTATGCAGGAGAGGTATGGAAAGGTAACGAAAAGGCCGTCAAGCAGCTGGAAACGGTGCAGATGGCAGCGGCCAAGAAAATACTAGGATGTTCAAGCACAACGAGCAACACCGTATTGAGAGCAGAATTGGGAACGTACTCTCTTAAAACAAAGAGAGACATGCAGAAGTTGAATTGGCAGTACAAGTTAAGTAGAATGTCGGACGATAGACTACCAGCCATGGTTGACAAGGCAGCTTGGGGAAAAGCGACTCCAGGGAAGAAGGGAATCAGATGGGACAAGGTGGTAGA